GCCTACTCCAAATTGGAAAAATTAAATTAAAAAAGTAAAAAAAGTGTTTCCCTGTGAGACGCAATAGACATGAACGTCAATGGTATAAAATAAATGTTAAAAGGGGGGGGGCGTAGACATGGCGCTCATCAGTGTAAGGTAAGGTCCCGGGTTCGAATACTGGGCTTTTTATTAAATACTGGCACCCCGCTCGTAGCTGAATATCTTCGGGGGAAAAAATTAAATAATCATAAAAGCTTGTTGATCTTCGGTCCACTTATTCGCTTTGTTTACCATTAGTCTCGGTATTGTAATAATAATAACATCCTTTATTTGCATATTTTATTTTATAATTTTCGAACCGAAATAAAAACGCTCACCAAAAAAGACTGGTTTTGGTCGTTATATCGAGGACAGGTGGATCTTGATTTATTTTTTGGCTTTCCAATTTAAAAAAAAAATCCAATCATTATAATCCCTTTTTGCCATTAACACTTCTCCTTAACGGAGAATTACTTTTATTACAACTTGTTATTCCTAATTTGGACAAAAAGGAAGGAAAATCTGAAAGGTTACAGGTTGAGATGGGGAGTTGGTGTCCGAGTGGATTGAAGTCATTCTCACGTGGTTAGAGCAGCGGCGTATTGAGAGAAAGGCTCGTGGCACTAGCTTTTTCATTTCAACCAAAACCTTACGTAAAAAGGTTAATTATAATTGAAAGAAGTAGTTTGGCCAACCAGACCGTTAAATATAATGGATCTGAATATTTTTTTACGGGTGCGGCCCCTGTGGCACTTGTACTACCTTTGTACCTAGGGAAAGCTTGTAAGAAGGGAGCATATAAGCCAGACGTGTGAGGTCAAATGGATTAACTCATTAAGCCGTTTCCGAATCCCAGATAAGTCATTTGGGCGAGGGCCAGGTCGTCATATCTTTTTGATAATTCGGCGACACCTGAAAGAGTTAAACCCGCGAAAATTATTCCATTTGGGCGTCTCCCAATCCGTACGAATTCTTTGCTAATGACTCACGCATCGTGTATTTTGGTATTCAGTGTCTTCTAATATTAGCAGTGGCTAAATCCGCCCCCGGGTACATCACGGGGCGTCGCGACACGGTTTTTTTGTGCCGATGGTACAAGTAAAGTGGCATGGGAACTGATAAATGACCACGTAGGATTCGTGTCGAGATGTTTTTTTCCAAAATACACTTTATTGTATATCCCAAACTCTCTGATCTTGCTAAGGGACGTTTGATTCAAATAACACCCATGAATTATTCTTAAACTGAAGACAATCTACAAACGTGTTCGGTTAATTATTCCACTTGACCTTCTTCTCTCGTCAAAATTATTGGTGATTTCATCCTACCAGTGACCTCTCTCTCTCTCTCTCTCTCTATCTCTCTCTCTCTCTCTCTCTCTCTCTCTCTCTCACCCGCTTTCTCTCTCTCTCTTTCTCTCCCTCACCCCCTCTCTCTCTCCCTCCCTCTCTCTATTCAAACTTAATTTATTCCAACAGACAGACATGATGAGATGAAACAATATAGTTTTTAAAACCATTGTTGAATCATCTCAAGGCGTGTCGTTCGCTCTACAAATCTCCTTTGAGGCATTCTTGAGGTTCTTCATCCATCTTGAGAGGTCGTGTTTGTCGAGCAATAGCTGACATACCGGTAGGCGGTACTGTAGGATTTTCGCGGCCTGATATTCAAAGAGCTCCTTATCACCCATCCCAGGAATTTATCCATCTCTATAAAGTTGTAAAAGGGACCTACAGTCTAATCTCGTCGTACAAAGTCAAAGTTGTGTTTTTTAAAGTAAATCCAGTGGGGCTTTTTTACCGGCGCCATATTTAATTTTCAACAAGAAGGATGAATGCCCCGGCGTTTTCAATAACTCCTGTACTTATCTCCTCCCAGAAAATATAAGTCTCTTTTATTAAATGTGTACTGACGAACTCTTATCACTCGCCCATAACACGTTTTCCTTTTAATATTTCACTCCCCTGGATTGTTTGCAACTTTTCTTATTTTTCGTTTTCTCAATAGTCTATATTATCGCTGCTGCTTCATCCTCTCGTATCTCGCTTTACTAAAACGGACACCCTCTCTTATTTTTCTGCTTTTTTTAATGCCTCTAAAAAGGAAGGCCTCTAAAGGTGGCTATGTACACACGAGAAAAATTGCCATTTCTATTGCATACTAACATCACCCTATAGTACTAACCGAATCATAATTCTGCCTGTGTGAGCTAGTATTAAGGAAAAAGTGTGATAGGTGGCCAAGATTAAAGGGATTTTCCTGGATTTAGAGGATTAAGTCTGCCTTGAGGTGTAAAGCCCACGTGAGATTAGTAACAAATACGATTAGTGAGTTATTGCAATTCGCGTGATAATTTCCAGGCCTGGGTTGGAACAATATCGTTGTCAATGTAAATTTCATCAGCAACTTACAAACAAAGGCTTCAAAGACCACGTTTAATCATAAGATTTGTTTGTTTTTTTAAATTCAGCTAGGTGATATGATGATTTAATGAGACATGCTCGGAATGTCGATTTTTACTTTTCCACTGTTTTACGTTTATTCTCGGTTTTTTTGACAGCGGATATCAGTTATTTCCCCCCATATAAAATACGACGGGAGAAGTTAAGTATTGAAGGGGGCAGACAAATTCTTATAGGTTAGAATGTCAGAAAAGCCCATTGTTTTTTTCAGCCGGCTTCGCATGTCAGACCTTTCCCGAAAAACCCGGTTTCGGAACCCTCTTATCGAGAACACCCATTCCCAACCCCGCCGATTTTCAAGGGTGGTTATTCCGAATGGTTTTCCACGGTTTTTGCCGAACGCCGAAGGTGCAAAGTAACGATCCAAGGGGTTTACAATAAGCAAAAACGTGAGTAATCATACGATCTGACAGGAGCGTATTCCTTTTTCTTTATGAGAAAATGTTTCCACTCCTTTTCAGTTGTTTTCACCGAAGGTAGTAAAAATATTGACATCCACATCAAGTCTTATTTTAAATCGCCTCTTGACATCCTTTTTCCGTTTTCGAGGTTTTGTATACCTCGCAATAACTTCTTCCGCCCCTCGAATTCGTTATAACGCTATTCCTCATATCGTTCCACGGATGTTATTTTATTACGCTTTCCAATTGTGTACACTTATTCTTTCTACGAAATTATTTTTATCTGAAAGAAAGTAATTTCATCCATACAACCAGTGATTTTTTAACCCCTTAATTTGCCCATTGTTCAGTCAAACCCAAGTGAACTTCGTTTTGTAGTTCATCAAAATCTTGAAAACCCTTTGATAAACCTCACTCTTCTCAGTGGCAATGATTCAAAAGGGGATTGCCTTATACAATAAGAACAAAGGGGTGCTGTCATTTTGCCCCTTTTGAATCCAATTGGCCAGGTGGAATGACTAATGATACAGATGCGCCAAAATCAATAAGGTTCTTATCCCTGTTCAAAAGAGCCCCCCACAAAAAACTTTTGTTTATACAATTCCAACTATCGTTTTTTTCCTCTTTATCTTTACTGATTATTAGGAGATCGTGAGATGTCGGGTGTGACGTAGGTTTTAGAAAAACTTTTTCTTTATCGTGCCAACGTTTCGGTCTTTAATATTGAGATCTTCTTCAGGCCCTGGGATTTATAAACATAGTTTAAATTATACAAATGCATGTAGGATGTGAAAAAATGAATTTATACATGCTAGAAATTTTAGATTCAATCATTGTATTTGTACTCACTCAAAGTGTTTGTTTTCGTGTTGAGAGTGCCAGTGGGATATTGATGTTTTATGTTAAAAACGTTGGATTTTGAATAGGTGGGGAAGGAAATCGGGTTACAAAGACATTTTTATATGAGGAGTTTGCTTCTTGAGGTGAAAGGAGCCGATAATTGGAAAAAATGAGTAATGGTTCGGCCTGATTATTTTTTCAGGATTATATAGACGGGGATAATTAGGGAAAGAAAAGCCAAATTGTTGAAGAATTGGACTATGTAGAAATGTTTGATGTGTGGAATGTGATGATTGTTTATGTTTTATATGTTTTATGTAATGTGATGATATATGTATGTTATCGAATTGAATTTGAGTAATGATATTAGAGTAGTTCGACTGAGTTTACATGGGTCTGTTCTGTAATTGATATTTTACTTATCTCTGTTGTAAACCATTTCTAAAAAGTTACGTTTATGTTTGTTTTGTTCTGTGTGTAATATTTTGTCGAAATTGTGTTGGTGTTGAAAATGGTTGGTAGCCAGTGGAGTAGGATTCTTTGGTTTTTTGCAATCTTAGATCTGTTGCTTTACTCCCTTATCCAGATATTGGATGTAATACCGAAGTAAGTTGCCGGACAATTTAAACAATTGATTTTGTAAATTACGACAGATTTATTTGTTACTGATGTGGGATTTTGGAAATTTTGGAAAAAAGTGTGTGAATTGTTTTATAGTTTTTGAAAGCTATTTTAAAGTTATCGGAAGAGCGAAAAGTGTTTAATTTATTTGATAGGCTGTGAATGAATGGCATGGAAAGGTATGTTGGTTTGTCTGTATTTGATAGATTTGATGTAGTATTATTAGTAATAGTGGACCATCTCACGATCTCCAAAAAATCATTAACTAACGGTCACTAAACACCACACATTTATCTTTACTGTTCTTAATGATAATGACTTAAACAGGACCGCAGGAGTTAAAAACAACCCGGAACGGTTAAACAGATTCATTTAAGTTGACTATTTCGACAAGGGTGTTATTCTGTCGACGATGCGACGGAATAATGCGAAATTTAACAAGGAAAGTGAAGACGTGCGGAAGGAAATGTGGCAAGGGAAGAGCAGCGAATGCTCACGTTTCCTACGACCCAAACCTTATTTCGTATTATTTTCATTTCCTTATCGTAATCACGATGTATACATAAAAAAAATTTGTATATAAAACAGTTCTATATATGTTTTTAAAAAATGTATTCATTGCTATGAAATGTATTATTTTTTTTTTTAATTCCAGGTGAGTGGGGATTCGAAGTACGATGCCTTACTTACAAACTTCCTTGCCAAACAGGTCTGTCAATTTTGTCATTTTCCCCTTCCATTTAACAATATTTATTTATAAGAACTAGTTAGAGTGCATTTCCATTGTCTTTCGTGATCGGGGTCTGCATGTCCACGTTGTAACGCAATTAGAAATGGGTGTGGCCGTACGGCCGTAAACAGATTACGGTTGCCCTTCTTTCTAAATGGAATTGAATTCCATGACGTGGCCTCATCACATTAACGGACCATTTTTTATGATTTATGAATTGAAGATAGCGCGTCGAGTGATGAACCGGCCGCGGAAGCCATTTAGCTAAGTAAACCTTGAGGGGGCCGTTTTTGCAACGCCTATTATATATCGACCCCTCTCAAAATTTGTTACAATGACCGGTGATTTACCCGAGTTTAACACTTAGTCTCGCTGACAATTAACATGATTCTGTAAATAAGGTGATTTTCACCTCTTTTTCTTTCTTCCCTTTTACCGCATTAGGACTATTTGGTTAACCTGATTATGATGTCAGTCGTTTTTTAGCCCTCTTTTGCTAACCGTTCTACGTAGGGAAATTCAAAAATACGGACGTGTTCCATTGTTAAAAGAGGTGAATTAGATGTGCAGAAGAATAGCAGGAAAAACTTGAGAATGCAGGCCAGAAACCATGTTCTGGATGTAGACAATCCAGGCATACTTGTAATCAAAATTCTCATCGTCTTTATCACCGACAGACCAGATAAGCGGAGCATAGTTTGGTACTGGAGTGCAGTAAGCCCTCTCATACTTCAGCAAAAAAATAGATTCCAGAAAGTCAGCGTGTGTACCGATGTTGTCGACAGTTTTCTGCGCTACGGCTGTGGAAACTCATCGGGTAGTCTGTCCAGTTTATAAGATGGTGATCCTATCCGCAAATATGGTGCAATAGCCTGGACCGATAAAGTAAAACGGAGAGAACTCATGAAAATGACGCGCATGCGTTTATAAATGGGAACGATGAGAACACGTCCCACAGCTGGTATGGAGAAAATATTGAGGTTAAACCCCCCCTCAACCATATGATGATGAGGGCGGCATAGAAAACAATTATTAACATCATCAAAGAGAAACTTCCAACGTGCTAAAACTAAAACGTACAAATAGTAACGGCCTAATGAAGGAACATCCGATACTCATTGCCCCAAGAGACGGCATGAAAATGACGTTTGAGTTGAAATAAACTCAAGTACCCAAACAAAATATGAAAGAGAGAGAAATCCCTCCGTTGAGAACCTCGCTGGTGCACTGACCTATCTAAAACGCAGGAAGGTACGAGGATAGAGAAGTACGGAATGGAAGCAAATTCTAAGAATCCGTAGGAAAATATACCAGTATCTTCCAGGAAGTCCGTACAATTGAGAGATGTACCAAGTTCAATCTGAACAAAGAGTACAAAACAAGAATATTGCTATCATGTCAGATGGCCAAGCAGCCATCAAAGTACTAGGTTCAAACATAATTAGCTCAAGGGTGGTGCTGAATTGCAAAACTAAATTTAGATATTCAAAATAGTCACCCCTGTGTTGGTTCCCAGAGATTAAAGGACTACGAGAAAGCGAACGCCCTTGCTAGAAAAGGGGGCTGTCATACCGCTGATAGCTCCGGACCCTTTCTGTCTCATAGGAATTCGCCCTGTCAATGAATAACTTAAACAAAAGGACAAAATGAAAATGAGGAAACAGTTGAAACTCATTGAACAAACAATCGAAGAATCTTCTAGCCAATTTTGGAACGAAAGAAACAACAGATTGCATCAAAGGAAGCGGGAGAATTTCGAATCCTAACAGGACACAGGATGGGCATCTGAGAAAGATTGGCATAACACGGCACGTGCAGATTCTGCAGAGAAGCAGAGGAAACATCCACACACCTACAAACCGTGGCGCAACATTTGCCCGCAGTGTTTTGGGATCTAAAACGTATAACTCCAACTACTGAAACCTGACCTGCTAATCAAGTTCCTTGATGAACTAGAACTCAACAGCTATAAGCACAGAAACGGGGGACATAAAAGCGCTTAAAGAGCGCAGTATATTACACTCCCCCAATTATACATCTACATATTAAAAGAAATATGCATTATTACGCCATTCTTCTGACAGTTCTTCGCACAAAAATAACTCTTCTAGGATTCGTCTAGGTTATGGTTGAACAGTTAATTTTTATAGTTCTGGTCAATGGACATTTTAAAAGTCTTTTCCATGCTACTCTAATTGTACCTCTTTTAAGTTAGACAGAATCCCAAGTTCCTCACGTTTCCAATCTATTTATCATAGTAAAACCTAGATAACGCAAATTTAGAATATTCCTGATAATCACCCCCATGGTAAACCGTTAAAGGTGGTCTCTCCCAACAGTATTATACCAATTATATTTCCTTTTATGACCAACCTAGAAAAAATAAAAATACAGATTTAAGAGCCTGGACAATTATCCATTCCCTTATAAAAGGTCTACGGCCCTTGTGCAGCGTATGCAAAGAAATTTTCTTTGAAATACGACGTTTTGGGGAAAGTATAAACTTTCCTTTCTTTCCAACGGTATTATTTATACAGAATACATGTCATCCTTTCTTTTTTTAAAGAAAAGAAAAACGAACATGGGTCTCTTAGAAATGAGAAAATACACTTGCTTAACATTTTATCTCTTTTTGTAACATGGTGTGAGTAGTTTAAGGCGTATTATTTTCAATTAATGATTAAACTCGGTCTTCCGTCCTCGTCGGCCTTCCACTGCTTTCTGATCATCACAAGCCTTATGATTAGAGAAACTTCGCCATGAAACATCATCAAGTTCCGAAACTTAGTCTTGCCTTTGACCATTTATGAGAAAAGGGATTTGAGTAATATGTAAGTTTGTCGGTTCCGAATTTGAGGAACGGTTTCTCAACGCGGTGTTGTGTAAATGATGTTTAATCCGATTATGGCTGTTTGTCGGATGATCTGCGGGTTGATCTTATCAGCCCTTATCGCCGGGATTACGTTCCAATACTGCAGTCATTGTACGTCTGTAAAATATATTTCTAAGTTTATCAGAAAATGTAATTTCCCTGTTAACGAAAAAATTCAAATAAAAAAATTAATTGTTATGAAGGATTCGTTAACATAGTTTCCTGAAATGGCTGGCTTTATGAAGAGGAGCAACCTCGATTATAATTTATTTTGCCCTTTTCATGAAAGCATTGGGCAGAATTCAGAATTTCATTTTACCCATATCTCATTGTTTGCCCCGAAGTCGGTTTGCAGACCGAATATTGCGTCGCGTGAGGGAGAAAAAAAGGATAGGGCATATCATTATAAAATACCTATATACAAAAGAATGAAAACCGTACCGACCTCCCTGGAAATACCTCTTTCAGAGCAAACGTACCGGTACCCCACAGGAGACAAAGCTGAATTGCTGTCATTTGAGAAGAGAAACAAACTCGAGATATTACTTATTTTAAAATAAAATAAATTTTTAGTTGATTGTGAACTAAAGGTGAAGAGAGAATTAATATTGTGTTATGACATGTGGGTGTTATAAGTTATGATCATTATTAGGTTTATTGCATGTGGTGTACCGCTGGTTAATTTACGAGATGGTCTGCGTGGGTCAATTTATGAACCGACTAGTATCCCACATCATAGGAAATAAATCGATTTTTGCTCATAGAGCTCTAAGCCCCCCCCCCATGGGCAGGATAGAAGAAGGGCACTGGTTTTTCGGGTTCCATGAGCAAAAACCTTTCACCGGTGGAGAAATGGCGACCGCAAAAGGTTCTTCCCGCAACCTTAAGTCCCTTGACTAATCGAGCTTTTATTTTTTCTCGCCCCTTTGAGGAAGGCCTATTTATATTTATGGGGCGAATTCAACTAGAGAGGGTTTTTTTCCAAGGCAATTCGGAAAGAGGTTTAATCTTAAAAAGCAGGTCTTGGGCATTCCTTAAGAAAAAACCTTAGGATCTTCTTCTAATCGGAACTTCGTTAGCAGCATTAAACCGATTGGGTTATTTAATGACTTAGGGAGTACCTTTTTGCTACTTCGGATCCGTAAGATTCAAGATAAATTGTTTGTTTTTTATTAAAACAGTTTTGATTCATGATATATTCCTCTACCGGTCAGTTGTACATATAAAAATCTCATACAATAATTTTGACTGGTGTTCTGTGCTCAAGTGATTAGAGCAGCGGCGTATTGAGCCGAAGGTCGTGGGTTCGAATCCCGCTCGTGACACTAGCTCATTTCAGCTGAAACCTTACCTAAAAAGATTAATTAATGGACAGAAGTTATTTGGTCAATCGGACCACGAAATATATGGGTTTAATATTAATAATCTGAAGTTTAGCTATCCGAAACCGGATTTCTTCCATGTGATAACAGTTAAGAAGGAGCGCTTTTCTTTTAGCTTTTATTGTTTTAGATTTTTTAATTTTTTAAATACATAACTGGAAAAATGGATGCTGGACATGCTATAACTTTTATGGAACTAATAACCTGCTAGGTATTTTTTCTTCATGCACCTTCGCCCAAAGGGCTCTATCAGGATCTATCTTTACTCGGCCAAATGGATCTGCCTAAGCGGTCTTTTCCGCTCCTCCGGAACTTTGTCACTCTTAAGCGTGTAGCCCTCTTGGTCGGGACGTGGGAACACAGAATCACAATTTGTTCATAGCTATTACGCACTCCAGCGAAAAACATATTTATCCCTCGCGATTGTTTGGGTGCCACCCTTTTTGTTCCATGATTCTGTAAATAAATGCTTTTGTAGCTAGAAAATTTTTCTCTGTGCCAAACATGTTTTTTAATGTGAACACTACTCCTCTTTCAGCTTCGCTTTTCCAATTACGTCTTAGCGTATCAAAATTTGTGCAGATAATGAGCTTATGACAAGCCGTCTCTTGAGGTGCTCCACATGAACACGATGGGTCTTCCTTAAGACGAAATGAGAAAAATTTTGCTGAGGAGTCTCCATGACCAATTATCGCTTGCGATATGAAATGGTCAACTGATATGTG